GCGTAGGCATAGTTCGATTGGCGAAACCTGTGGCCTGAGGAGTTTTCGGGCCTGCATCCGCACTAGTGGCGCCCATCACCAACGCTAGCGGTGACTTCTAATAAGACTAAGTATATCTGAAAACAGTGAAAAGTTATTTATGATAATTACATGTAATCTACTTAAATTATACATTTCAGATTGATGTTTTTCGAAGATGGATCGGGTTAATTTTATTCCTATTGTTTTAAATAGGGAAATCCCTTTTTTAAGAAGATCACTTTACATGACGAGCTCAGTGCCGGAACGGGTTAAATTTGTTCACCGGGCTACACTTCTACTGTCGTAAAATAAAAATATCCAGTTGTTTCCGTTGCTTGTCGGAGTCGTTTTCACAAGGTTCAGTTATCAAAATGGGAATTATATTGCTTTGGTCATAATTTAATTGCTGAGCCAAAAATGTTGAAGTTGTTATCAAAAAGTGCACAATGCGGGCGTAGAGAAATGAATTGTTTATTTTCTACAAAAATGCATGTCTTTTGTTTGAATTAGTTAAATAACTAGATTTCGCAAATTATGGTGCAACCATTTAAAATAGGATCTTCGTTAACTTAATCAAAATGCCCCTTTAACTATACTCTAGAAACATTAAAATATATTTATTAAGACAGTTACATCCAAATAGGCTTTTTGTGAGCATTCCTATCTTCAAATATTTCTTTATCAATGTTAGTGACTTAAATTTCGTAATCTGAAACTTATGACGTCGGCTCAACAATAACTACTCCAATTAGGTCAGTAATATAATTGAGGTACGACAGAAACTTGAAAATAATTCCAATTGGTTTGTTGTTACCATCGAAATTAGGCACCTAATGTATTATTGATTAATTATTTTGCACTTATGCTTCGCGTCTGATCCACAATTGGGTTTCAAAACGACCCCTTCTTAACGTTTCCTAAAATAAACCTGAGCTTTATTTACGGGCTGTATCAACTGCGCATTCGTATACGCCTTACGTACAGACCTGGACAAAAAACCTGTCTTTTATTTCTCGACATCAGTTACAGATGTCGTAGCCTGCAACTAAGGTGGCACATTGCACCTAGTACCTTTTTCAGTTCACAAAGCTGATACCTATACTGGTTGGTGGGGCTGCTTTAATTGGCCGCTATAATTATCTAAACGGATGCCTAGCATAGCTATGATTTGATTGGCCAGGGAGTGTGACCAGTAGCGCATCGTATACAAACCAGACACCCTGTCCATAACTGGCGAACTAAGTCATGCAACCGGGCACACAAATGCAAATTGATTACTGGAGAAAAGGGTCGCCCCCTTCACGCGTTTAGTAAGAACCAAATGGCTGCAAATATAACTGTAAGATACAGCGTTCCGTGTATGCTGCAAAAAGCCTGGCTTGGAGGTCCAACTTACAAGGACTTTCTACGCTACAATCAACTTATTCTCATCACGATCCTCGGTTTGCCGGTGTGTGTGGTTGGCATATTCACCAGCGGTCTTAGCATCTGCATGTTCGGTCGAGACAAGACAACGCCCCGAACAACCCGCAAGCTCCTGATCGTTTTATCTGTGCTTGATGTCCTGTATCTCCTCCTCTCGATGCTTGTATTCCAACCAATGAATTTTTGTGGTCGGAACTGTCCCCAGCAAATGCCGCTTTTAACCAGCATCATTGTTCCGCTCGGGACTATTCTCGAATCCTTCAGGAATTGGTTGGTTGTACTGATTGGCGTGGAACGCTTCCTAGTCATCTGTTTCCCTGTTCGCAGTAAAGTGTGGTGGACTGGGGCGATAACTAATCGCCTGATAGCTGTCTGTTTTGGATTTTCCATTCTAGTTCGGATTCCACTCATCTCCTTCACGGCAATCGAGAACGTGAGACCGGAGTGGTCGGCAGTGAAGTCACGGTTTTGGCAACTGCACTGCTTCACCGACAGCATCCTTGTCACTTTAGTCCCGTTGATAATTCTAATTGTCTGTAGTGTGCAAATTGGGCGTGGTCTCCGGCGTTCAGGTCGTTTTCGTAGGGGACAGGGGGAACATCCGCAGCTGCAGACTGCGTCGATCGATTGTCAAAAAGATGGCATCCAATCCGACTGCATTGTTCTACGATGCCTCAAACTAACTCGTGGCCTACTCATTGTTATCATCACCTTCGCTCTGTTCATGCTGCCTCTGAGTATACTTCAGCTACTTTCGCTTCACTTTTTGCGTCACCGCACTTGCGTCTACATGGTCAGTCTTAACATCTGCTCTTATTTGGTGGCACTTGGCTCTCAGATTAACTCGACGGCAAACTTTTTTGTCTACATTGTCTACTGGGCCAAGTACCGGAGGATGCTTAGGCAGATGCTGGGCTGCCAACACGCGCCCGAAATCGTGTCAGGTAACACGGAGTTAACAAGTGGCCAGCACTAAGCTTCTTGCTGACAGTGTGCTACAAGATGTGCCGCAAGA